GATTGAACTCGGGTCCTTGCACTTGCAAGACAGGCCACTGAACTGCGGAGCTAAATCCCCAGCCCCACCCCAAATTTATTAACAGAATTGTCTTAAACATTTAATTAGATATAGCAGACTTCTCTTGATTGCTTTAAACCTTGCATGGTAGACAAAGTACAATCAAATCATCACAAAATCACTTCACTTATTATTTTTTCTTAAACTCATTTCAAAATATTGATTCTATGGGTTTAAATGCATTTCTGTACCATCTTTGCATATAATCTTACCTATAGCTCTTACACTTTCCTGAGGGTAAGGTGATAATGTATTTCAGCATTTTCCTATGAGTCTAGTAGGTTCCACATCAAAGATAAAAATTCTCACCTCAGATCAGCTGAGGATGCAGATGTTAAATTACAAAGCAATTGATTCTGGGCTGTGCCATCAGCACACTGAATTTTTTTTTTTACTTAAATATTGCCTACTACACCTTTAATACCTTTTAAGCGCTTCCTTCCATAAGGCCTCTCCACTTTTTCCCCAAATAATATGGTGTCTGTGTTTTGCTAAGTTAATGTCTTGTAACTCACCATCCTACCATTACTGTACCTTGACCTCTTGTGTGGGCCACCTTGGACACTTACATCTCCTGGGGTCATCTTAATGTATAATCAGAGGGGCCCTTCAGAGATGGTGGTCTGCATAGTTAAGACACAGCTTTAACAATATTTAGCCAACCCGCCATCTTGGAACATAGTATGCTCTTTTTACTTGTATATTTTATGCAGTTACTAATACTGATCTGACTGGGTCCATTGTTCTACTTGAATTTTTATGTAGGACCAATTGAGCTGATTAGTCCTCCTGTTCTATTTTTCCCAAGACTATTTGGCTCATTCACAACACTTTGTCCTTACTCCTACTTGCTTACAAAGATAGAGTAAACCACAAAATTCTCTCTGGTCTAGCCATATGGCTAGAAACATTCTGAATTTCCAAATAACTAAGGACGCAGTTTTATGCACATCTAGTGCTTAGGATGTAACCCAGTTTTCTTCTTCTTTGTTATCACCCAGACATGTCTGTTAAGTAATTCTAAGAGACGGAGTCACAAGAGGAGAGGTTTCAAGAGCTCAAAACCGTAGATGCTGTTTTTATTCCTGTTTCCAAAAGCTGCCTGGGATTGTTAATGCTGCTCACCCCAATCAGCAAAGAGGGGGTGCTGGAGTTTCTCCTCCCTGTCTAGCCATTTTCTGTAACAAAGGAATGTCGCAGGTCATTCAGGACTTCCTGTGTGCAATTCCAAGGCTAAGGGAGACACAGAAGACTCCAGTCTGCTAATTCCCAGGTCTCAGAGCTGTGGAGCGGAGGGCAGCATTTACCAGCCTGAGTTGAGATGCCCACGAGAGCTCTTGAGCATCAGCTTGATGTTCCACAGGGCAGTGCCACAGGCTGTGACAGTGTACCACATGGATACACATAAGAGAAAGCTGTCACATGATGGCCCTGGTATTCTACAGGGAGAAGTCAGCATCCCGCCAGGCCCTGACCACAGGCAGACTAAAGGGTCTCTTCTAGAATAGGGAAATCTCCAGGCCACGCAGAGCTTCCAGGTTTCAATCCAAGCCCCCTCCCAATGAGAAGAGGAATCTCCAAGCCAGAAAATCAATTTTTCCTATTCGTGGTCCCAAAACCAGCTGGTGGCAGAAGCCAGTAGCATTCTCCCAAGCAAGGTGCTTCCTCTTCAAGCTTGAAAACCATTATGAGAACTCATTCAATTTTAGGTCAAAAATACCACAGAAACCCTTCTCTTCATACCACATCTCCAATATGCCTAGGGGCCACTTTCTAAGCAGCCCTCCTCTAGAGGTGATTTTCCCACCTCCTGTTGCCCAACAGCCTAAAAGCAAGAGCTTTTACATCAACAGAAGAACCATGAGACTCAGTTAAATAAAAAAGACCAACAATTACATAAACCTACTATTACTGTAGGCTTTCCATGGAAATGGCATACATAATTCCCCTTTGTCTGCTGGAATATATCCCCAGTAGATGCCCAAAGCCATAAATAGTACTGAGCCCTATATAAACTATGTTTTGCCTATACTTATATCCTATGATAAAATTTTACTTATACATAGACATGGGAAGAGTTTAACAACAATAACTAATATCACCATTCTTACATCTTGGGCCCATTACAAAGTAGAATAAAGCCTACTTGACAAACAGCACTAAGATACCACAGGACTCAGTCCGCTAGCTGAGGAAGTTAGTAGGTCACCAATGGGAAGGTAGGGTATACAGCACGGATTCACTGGACAAAAGGCTGATTCACATTTCAGCTGGAGCAGAATGGGATGGCATGGGTTTCCCATTATACAACTCAGAACCATGTGCAGTTTAAAACTTATGCCTGTTTCTTTCTGGAATTTTTCATTTAATATTTGCAGGCCATTGTGGTAAATGAAGCCTTAGAAAGTGAAACCATGGATACGGAGGTTCTACTCTATTTTCATAGACCATTGAAAGCAAACTCTTCCACAAGATGAGCTTCAGTAAGGACTCGAACAGCCTTGGGTCCCTAAAGCTCAAATGCTTGCTGCCAACAGTCTGATTTTCTGGGCTTTTCTCCAATGTAGAAAAACTTGCTAACACACAGGCAGATCCAGTCATATAAATACTGACTCCTCCCACACCCTCTACTGGGATCACCTGCCTGGTTCTGGATCCCTGGATGGAGAATATTCCAGAAGGAAAGACTGGCACCCTGGGGCTCCAAAAACTCAAAAATGACATTGAGCTGTTTGGAGTTCTAGTAGAGTGGAGAACAGGAAGGAAGATTGCTCCAGAGGGGACAGTAGGTTTTCCTCCACACTGGGCTTAGATGCTGACTAAATTAGACAATTCATGTGTATGTAAGTGTTCTCATTCTCAGAAATACCTGAGGAGACAACTGCCAGTCACTCTTGGTTTATTTCAAAAAGCGTTGAACAGGGCACAGGCCTGCTGGCAAGTCTCCAGGGTCCTAAGAAAAATGTGTCCAAGATTTAAGTCCATAACCATAGCCCTGAGCAGGAGGCTCCTTGCATTCCCCTGATCTCAGCGGGGCTTCCTCCTGGCACAGTGGGTCTTTACCATTCTGGAAAATAGCAGCAAGGGAGTGAAAGAATGAGAGAAGGCGATAGCTACTGTCCTGCCAGTTACTTCCTGTACATTTCACCCATGCCAGAGGAAAAGAGCAAAGTTGAAAAAGACAAAGGCTATCAACTTCATTTTTGTAAGAATCCAGCATGCTGGGAGGCTAAGGCAAGAGGATCACAAGTTCCAGCCCAGGCTGGGCAATTTAGAGATTTTGCAAGACCCTGTCTCAAACATTTTTAAAAAGGCTGAGGATGTAGCCAGGCATGGTGGTGCATACCTATAATTCCAGCACTCGGGAGGGTGAGGCAGGGGGATCACTGTGAGTTAGAGACCAGCCTGAATACACAGAGAGCTCCAGGACAGTCTCAACTGCATAGTGAGACCCTGTCTCTAAAAACCAAAAAAGTATGTAACTCAGTGCAAATGGAAAATAAAAGGGGGGGGAGAGGAGAGGGGGGAAGGAAGGAAGATAGTGGAAATATCCTTTTCATTTTGTAATTTTGATCTCCCCGCTGGGCTGCACTAAGTAACCAGGAAGGGAAACAAGCAGTGCTGTATGTACATCATGTTGCTCTCACTAAACTGTGGATTTTGTTGGGTTAGAGGTATCAAATGCATTTTCAACTTCAGATATTTTCAGTTCAGGTTGGTTTATCAGGCTTCAGCCTGATCACAAATCAAGGAGCGTCTACAATGAATGGAGAGGCTCTGTCATAATTCACAATAAAAACTGTCCCTCTAGAGGGAAATCTGCTCTCCAGCTCCATCAGGTTGCCCCTTGGGATTGTGAGACCTGAGATGCCTGATCTCCTAATTTTTCAAATGAAATACATCTCCTAGGCCAAAGTTGGTGCCTCCTGACTCATAAGTACGGTGACTAGTCTAAGTGTTTTTAAACATTGCACAACAAAATATATTTGACAGCTACAAACAACACTGGAGCCACTAATGTGCAGCCTGTGCTTCAGGAACAGGAGAATCCAGGAGAGTCTTGGGTGCCCTTTCACACCAGTCCTACCTCACTGAGTTCCCACCTCGACACAGGGCGTCTCCAAAAACATCTTAGGGATCCATTTGCCACCGCCAACCTTAATGTCAAAGTACCCTTCCTGCACAAGCCTCCAAGAATTCTAAACATCATCCTCATGCACCCAGTTGTTCAATTTGTAACATTCCCATGAGCACAAAACTCATGCCTACTTAACATCATCTGGGTACCTGGAATTGCTAGAGATATTTGGTGCCAATTTTGATCCACGTAAGTTTAAATGCCTTTTAATACCTACAAACATCACTAAAATGTGTATCTCTAAAAAACCACATCTCTCCTAACACAGCATACAGAGTCTATGATCAGTATAAATTCTAGGAATTGGTTTGAACAGTGTTTAAACTTAGGTTTTCCTTAGAAATTGGAAACTGACATAGAGAATGGAGTGAAAATTCGTTTGAGAAGTAAGCCTGGGAGGCACCAGGAAGAAAAAGAAGTCAATCCAGGTGACCATTGTGGGCAACTGAGGCTCTGTCTTTCGGGGGACCTCAAGGCTCAGTCCATTTGGGACACACATTAGAGATGTCACCCCTGAGAGGAAAGAAGCAGGAGTCCTGGTCCGTCAGCAGCCATCTGTTATTTGTGAAGTGCTCCCCCTAGAGGCACACACTCTGCATTTCTGGTTTAACGTGAGTGTTAATGGCCGGAGCTTACGCCTACATCCACAGAAAGCCCTTAAGCATAGTATTAAGTATTTGCAGAAAGAAATCTTTGGTGAGAATGAATGCCTCCTGCTTTGGTCCATTCAGGCTGCTATCACAAAAGATCTTAGACAGAGTAGTTAATAAACAACAGGATTTTATTGTTCACAGTTCTCGTGCTGCGTTGTCCAAGATCAAGGTGTCAGCAGATTCCGAGTCTGCCGAGGGCTGCCGTCTGCTTCACAGATGGTGCTGTGTCCTCACTTCATGGAAGGGCAAACAAGCTGCCTCAGATCTCAGTATTTTCCCTCCGGCGCAGGGAAAATGTGGGTAGGGTTTAGCTGGGGAGGGTCTCTCAGACAGGTGATCAAGCTCCTTGCAAGGTGGGGGGTGGTTCCAAACAAGTGAGCCTCAGCCTCCAGGCTGGCTGCAAAAGATCCCTTCCCACACTCCCTATGCAGAAAACAGCAGGTGTGCCCTGTTGGCCAGCGATCTCATGTCGTAGCCATACGAGTCCTTCCAAGGAGCCAAGCTGCTCCCAGGGTGATGCTGGTTGTCCCCAGAGTGAGGGCTGGGAGAAAGAGTAAGAGAGGACAAGAAAGACAGATGTTACAGTCATTCTGTAGCCTTCCTCCTACTGCTCAGAAGCTAAGTCACTTGGGAGGGGTTAGTACTGGGTGGGAATGGAAAGAGGAGGAATTACAGGGGCCACAATGGAGGCTGCGTGACAAGAGAATGATAAAGCACAAAGCTACAGGACCCTGTCTTTGCATCTTTCAGGAAGAGTGAAGATAATATTGAGTTGTGCAAGATGAAAACGTTCTAGAGATCTGTTGCACAGCAATGTGATATACTCATGCTACCAAACCACACTTAAAAGTAGTTAGGGGTAAATTTAGGGGCAGGTGTTCTTTTACAATATAAATAAACAAACACATACATACATGCCAGAGGGAAATGGCTTTTAAAATAAATGTAAAACTTAAAAGTGAAATCTGCATGCTAAAATTTTGAGGGTAACTACTATAACACTAGAAATGTATAACTCCCAAACTAGTAAAATTAAAAAAAAATTCCAACATTCCAATCCATCCAAAAGAATGCTGGAAAGAAGAGAGGAAAGTAAGATAAGAACTAATTATAAAGATATTAGAGATCATAATAAATGAAAATTAGCTACCATAACCTGATTTTTAAAAAAGAGCACCAGATTGCATTCTTACCATCAGCTGTTTGCTCTCTAAAGAAATATACCCAAAATATAAATCTACATTGCACATTATATTTAATGGTAAAACATTACACGTTTCTGTTTAAAATCAAGAATGAGGTTCATCCTCATCACTCCTATACAATATTGTACTGAAGGCACCCACGAGAATTATAACACACACACACACACACACACACACACACAACAGTTAAGGATTTAAAGGGGGAAAACACAAAAAACGTTATGTGCATTTAATGTGACTGTTCACATAGAAAATCTAATAAACAAATTTCTAGGATTAATGAGAGCTTAACTGATAATTTACTTGGGGACTAGTTTATTGCCTTAATCCAGGAGATAGCATGTGTCCCTTCAGTTTACTTGTTCTCATGGCTGAGTATAACACTGTATGTATGGACTACAATTGTATCCCATCTTCTCTCGATGAGTATTCAGGTTGCTTCTAAACTGTTGTCATCTGGAACTGTCGTGAACATCTGTTATTTATGGCTCCTATGTCAGAAACCACCCCTGCCCCAGACTTTTCTCTCTCCATTTCTCTGAAGCTCAAGCCTAGGCAAAAGTATTCAGAATAATTTCTCTACTGTCATCAGATTTTTCTAGTAATATTGCCACATGCACTAACAGTTTTTAAATGTTATGTTCTGAAAACACACGAGCAGATGGCACGAAAAGGCTGAACAATACCCAGACGGTTACAGCAGTGGCGCTAAGAAGGGAACGGTGCTGAGTCAGATGCCTTGCAACTTCACTGTGAGGCACATGAACTCTGGGGTTGTGATCAGCTGTGCCCTGGCAGTGTCCAGAGGAGGCAGGAGCTGCGATTATTCAACAGGGGTACAGCTTTGTGTCTTCACGTGGACTCTTGTTTCCCGTCTTATTTTTCACAGTAGCTTTCTATCTTTCTTATAATTCTCGTTATATGTGTAGCAAAACCAGTTTTTAGTCCTCTAATGTGTATTCAGGAGACAGGGAAACAAGTCCTTTCCTTGGTTAGCAATTTATTTGACTGGCAAAAAAGCGAAGCCTGAGGCACTTGCTTCTTTACTCCTTCAGCATTATCTTGCAAGGGCTGGTAAGCCTGTATTATTCATACCCACGGAATCCTATTCCAGGTTGTTCTGTGTTCCACCAATGATAACATGTACACAAGAAGTGAGGAGTTTCCCATAGAAACCTCTCTCCTTCCTGGCAGGGATTGCAGCCAGCAGACTCATTCTAGCTCTTTCTCGCTAGTGGAAGAGATTCAAGAAGAAATAGTGAACTGGCTTTGGGAATGGAGGATTCGATTTCCTTGATTTCATTCCAAGATATCCCACTGGGCATCCACTTTGCCTGTTCTGGAATTCCATGCCTAGGCACTATCGGGTTTCTTACTTCTTGTGGAAGACCAAGTCTGTGATCTTCTCTGAAGCATCTTCTCCTAGGCACTGAAATCCAAGGGAGCCACATTCAGCAGCAGTATCCTCTCTGCTGACACAGGAAAGGAGGCCCATTATGAGTCATCTGTGTCAGCCGGATGGCTTCCTAGGAAAAGTGTAAATTGATTTTTTTCCTCCTGGGGGGTCAGCTAGAGGACTGAAGGTGGAAGTGAACAATTCATTACCACAGTAGGGAGAGCAGAGCAGCCACAACCCAGAAAAGTACATTAAGTTGATTTCATACTAGAAAGCATGTGAAAAACAACTATCAAGACTTAATACTTGTTCTTTAGGCCTCATAGTGTGAGCAAAACTACCTACAGGGTCTTCTTAAACCAAGCACTAGGAAGGAAAGAATGTGACTAAGCAAAGACAGCAGCTGCCACAGGCATTCAAGCTGGCCCCTCCCCTATACTGCATCAAGAATTAGGTGTGGCAGTTTTGCTTCTCATGGTACCAATTATTTGATAGGAGCCTTGCCAGACCCTGAGGGTGGAGTCACTGTAAAGTGGTTGACCACCTCTTGAACTACCAGGTTCCCTGATTTCTCCCTAGGAAACCTGTCTCTCCAGCAAAATGTGTAAAGTGGGCTGCATCAAATGCATGGCCACTGTGGAAAGCAGCTGGGCAGTTTATTATAAAGTTAAATACACACTCACCATATGACCCAACAGTCCCATTCCTGGGAGTTTATCCCAGAGAAATAAAAACTGTGCCCATACCACAACCTGTATATGAGTGGTCATGACTGACTCGCTGGCACTAGACAAAGACTCACCAAATGTCCCAGCCTTCCTAGAATGCTCTGGAGATGATCTGAGGACCTTTAAGGTCTGTCTATGCATGTCCAAACACGGCATCCACAAATTATTGTTCCACACCTGAGTGCAGAGTCCTCATAAGCCCTGCAAGTAACCAGGACTCCTGAAGATGCCCAGGCCTTGGTGGTCTTAGTTCTTCCCACCCCACACCTTCTGCTCACATCTGCCAATATTATGCTGCTCTTCTACATTCTTCTCTGCACTGGGAGGGTTTTCTGCTTTTGCATTTTTTACAGGTGTGTCCTGTCTTAGCCTCCATCTTCCATCTCCACTACTCTCTCTCTCTTCTTCATCAACAGACCTCTCTCATCTCAAACCTTCCTCTGCCTACCATGGTGCATGGTAGAGAGTACAAACAATGAAACAGAAAGTTCTCTTAGGGCTGTTACAAGAATTCTGTCTGAGCTGAGCCTTGATTTTCTTTAAAGACTTCTTGAGGAGCCATTTGGACAGTGCCAGGGCCTCATAGGCTTGGGTCTCATTCTATTGCCCCAGCACAAGACAAGGGAAAACATGCTGCTTCTCCAGAGACAGAAAGTGAAAAGACAGGGGGAGACAGCCAGAGACAATCATGTGGTTGAGGGGCTTGGGTGTACTCCCTGAGGCTCCCTAAGTCATCGTAAGTTCTATAAAATTTGGGAAGTGGTTTATAAAGAGACTTATTAGGAAAGCTAAAAGAGGGTTCAGCTTTGATCCTGGAGGGATGTATGGTGGAGTTAGGACCCCACCTATAAGGCCATATACCCAGGAAATTTGCAAAGCCCAGTATGGCTTATAACAGTAGTTTTCAAGTGAAATGAGGAGATGGAACCATCTGGGGAGTGTCTAAAAATCTTAATGTTGAGGCACCACCCAGATACACTAAATCAGGGTGTCTGGGTGGGACGCAGCAGTGGCAATATGTTAATACTCCACATGCCCTGTATTAGAGAAATGCTGGCAAAGATCCCCCCTAACCACAGGACACAATCGTATTTGTATTTCATTCTTACCATAGATCTTAGCAACCTCAGCCTATTTTTTTTCTTATTAAGTTGAGAACTTGCATCTTTTCACTTAGTGGAAGCACTTTATAGCTTCACTTTGACATATCTGGATTGATAGCATCATGACTTTTGTGCTTTGGGGGTGTTAAGTCAAATAAAGGCTACTGGAAGACAAGCCCTATGATAGCTGATCAGATAACAAAGGCAGCTACTAAGTGACTAGTGAGTAAATAATGTATACAGTGGGGGCACAATGGGCAAAAGATGATTCCCATCCCAAGAAAGGGGGCTCACAATTTCATCACAGGACTCAGAATGACACACGACTTGAAACTTATGTGTTGTCTATATTCAGATTTTTCTATTCATTATTTCTGGGCTGCAACTGACTACAGGTAATTAAAACTGCAAGTAAAGAGGGACTACAAAAGCTGTTTCCTCTTGTGTTAATGGAAACCAAACAGGTTATTCTGCAAGATTGGATTCAGAGGCAAAGAGACCTGCAACTTCCTACACTCTTCTGTTCTTTAAAAGGCTGTTTCAATGAATTCCATTTCTTTTGCAGTTGGAAGCAAACAAGTGAGAAATCCAGCATTTTCAGTTTAGCGACCCAAACATACCTTCACACTCAAAAACCCTTTCACCGTGGTTACCAGGCAGCCTGCAGGGCACTGAAGTTCTTAATCTCTCATTCCAGAAACAGTAGCTATTCCACTTTGCTGGTGTTAATTCTATTTTTATTGCTTTTGATAACAAGAATTGGGTTTAAGCTTCTACACATCTCAGACAAAAATCAAGAAACTAGTTCATATATACAAATTTGAAAGTATGAATCAAGTCCCAGTGCAGCGCCGACAGAACAGACTTGAATGGGTAGAAAACAACCATTATTTTAAGTAACGACCCACTGGAGCTTTGTTGTGCTACTGCATAGTAATCAGATTTGACAGGTGGGAAAAAGAGGATATCAGGAAATAACAGAAAAACGGAGCTAGAATACATTCACTGCATAATATGTTATTTCTTTTTCTACAGTAGCAGGGAGGGAGGGAGAGGGAAGGAAGTGGAAGGAACACAGAGAATTCAAGAACAGAACCACATGAAAGTTA